TCCCCGCGCGGGCTTTTAATTTCTGGATGAGGAGGCCCTTTGCAGGGGAGCTGAAGAAGGCTGTTGCGAGGGCTGTAGCGATGGCGCCGTAGAAATAGACGCGCGCCCAGACTAAGAAGGAGGCGGGAAGGGTGAGGAGGACGAAGGGGGCGGTGACGAAGGAGAAGGTGAATTGTGTGATGAACCAGGATGCGATGTCGTAGTAGATTTTGAGGGAGGTTGGTTGGGTGGTTTGGGGGTCGAGGAAGAAGGGGCGGATATAGCGTCGACAATCTTGGGTTTATGTTAGTACTTGGAACAATGTCAAGGGACAAGGCTTACTCTTTGCTGCGGTTTGTACAAAGCTCGCAAGTACAAAGCTCAGATAGTATCCTGGGTAGAATCCGTGCCAGAATGCACTCGTGGTGAAAGTAGCCATGCTAGCTCTGAAGCCTGGCTTCTTGCCCCGCGGTGTCACACGTAGGTACATGTAGTTCCGGAGCCAGTTGTTTGTGTTGATGTTCCAGCTTCCAAGATACGCTCGAGTATTCTGTGCTGACTCTACCCCCCAAGGATCAACGTTCTGTAATCGATCCCAGCTGACCTTTCCAGTAGCTGGATCAACACCTTTGTAACCGAGTCCAGAGAGAATGCAAGAGCCTTCAGTCAACGCCCATACCCCATAGTACTTTAGGCGACTGGTGACTCCGAGCATATATAGGATCCAGATTCGTCGGACGTAGCCGTAATTCATATATGTATCCCCAGTGACCAGATCCGTATTGTACATCCCCGACAACTTTAAGAACGAAAAAATCCAGAGTAAACCAGCAACAGCCTTCCACGTCGCAGGGGTTCCACTTCGAGGGATCTTTCTCTTCTTTCTCGTTGGTGGCTTATTGGCTGGGTTTATCCCCGCGGGCACCTCGAACATGGTGGTCTCGATCCAGTTCTCGTATTCGACATAATCGAAGGCTGGTCCAGCAAATAGCGAGGGGAAGAACAAGACATATCCAGCAAAGTTGAGCAAACTCGGCAGCTTCTTTATAGCCCTCTCTTTCTGAAAATCAGACAAGTCGCTCTCTTTCAATCGTCCGTCCGCCACGTTCCAACAGAAAGCCGTAAGCTTCTCCACCAATATCATTTGCGCCCCAGTTATGTCTACCGCTCCGGGATCGTTCTCGAATTGCCGGGCAAGTTGGTTCACAGACATGTGTCCCATACAAAAGACGAAGCCTATCCATGGCATAAACGGTCCATCAATGTATTTCGCGATGCAATAGGATCCGATGGAGCTTATTGCGAGTGTGGATGCCCCGCCCCATAAGTCGAAAAGTCCAACCAAATAGAAGGCAGAAACTCTGGAATAGATTAGAAGGGGCTCCTCGCTTCAATGTTTTGGACTCACCCGATTGTAAAGAGGTTCTTCAACGCTGGCTTCGAATCTGGTACCCGTTTGAGAACTCCAGCCAGAGGATATGAAAGGAGGAAAGAGAATATGAGCTTGACTATGGACTTTTAACAAATTTGAAGAGAGCATGCTCTCGAACAGAACATCTTACGTTCATCGGTCGACGCTCCTAAAATTCCGGCAACATACTGAAAAGCTATATGTTGACGTCAGTGGGAGCTGTCCAAGGCTGAGGATGGGAGCCTCACGGGTGTGAATGTACGGCAACATTGCCGCGAGGTCGTGGTTGAGTAATTATAAATCCTATCGTCGCTCCATCTGCGAAAGGGTACCTTCAATGTTCGAAGGTGGTTAGCTACCAAGTTGCGCTTGCGCAAGAACTGTGTTTGTGTTTGTGTTTGTGTTGCAAAGTACAAAGTATAGCAAACCTATCCCTATTTAGCCACCCTCGGCACGGGGATCGCTGACTGGTCCGTGTTGAGGGAGAGCTTGTGATGTAGCCTTGCTCAGCGTGCGACGGATTTGAGAGCTCCAAGTAAGAAAACTCTTCCCCTTTTCGAACGGTCTACTAACGTTTGCGACTAAAGAAAAAACCCCGCTACGAATCGCGAAAGAGGTGTGCGACGAGAACCGAAATCAACGACTGCTTGAAACGATCTGGAGAGATGACCACATCAGGTGGACCTTGACAATACATGCGCCTCGTGAAGTCCCCAACGAATCGACACGATGGACGTAGTACAGGCAGTGTCGGGGTACATCTCGAAGATGGTGTCTGCTGGAGATAGCGCATCTGGGGGACCTGCTGCGAAGATGAAGATATTATTGCTGGATAGCGAAACTGTGTCAATTGTCTCCACGGCCATCACACAGTCCGCACTACTCAACCATGAAGTCTACCTGATCGATCGATTGGACAACCAAAACCGAGAGAAGATGCGACATCTAAAATGCCTATGTTTTGTCCGACCTTCAGCAGATTCAATACAATTCCTCATTGACGAGTTTCGCGACCCGAAGTATGGGGAGTACAATGTATATTTCAGCAATATCGCGAAGAAGTCCTCTTTGGAGCGATTGGCAGAAGCAGATGACCATGAAGTGGTCAGGGCGGTGCAGGAGCATTTTGCAGATTACTTGGTTGTCAATCCGGACCTGTTCACCCTAGATATGGGTTTCCCCAGACAGCGGTTATGGGGTTCAAATCCAGATATGTGGAATGCAGATGCGCTGCAGAGATCAACGGAAGGACTAATTGGTGTTTTGCTGTCGCTCAAGAAGAAGCCACTGATACGGTATGAGAAGAACAGTTTACTGGCCAAGAAGCTCGCAACAGAGGTCCGATACCACATGACACAAGAGGACCAGTTGTTTGACTTCAGGAAGGTTGACACACCTCCAATTCTGCTTATTTTGGATAGGAGAGATGATCCCATCACCCCTCTGTTGACCCAATGGACATACCAAGCCATGGTTCATGAACTGCTGGGAATTCAAAACGGCCGAGTAGATTTAAGCGATGTCCCTGACATTCGACCAGAGTTGAAAGAGGTTGTGTTGTCACAGGACCAAGACCCGTTCTTCAAGAAGAACATGTTTCTCAACTTCGGCGATCTTGGTGGAAACATAAAAGATTATGTCGAGCAATACCAATCAAAGACAAAAAACGGCTCGAACATCGAATCAATAGCGGACATGAAGCGTTTTATTGAAGAATACCCTGAATTCCGAAAGCTATCGGGAAATGTCAGTAAACACGTTACTCTGGTTGGCGAACTGAGTAGAAGGGTTGGAGCAGAGAACTTGTTGGAAGTTAGTGAGGTGGAACAGAGTTTGGCATGTAATGACAATCATGCTACAGACCTAAAAGTACGCCCTCTCCCGCTGCGACCTTCCATCGTTACTAACATGATCTTAGAACGTCCAACGGCTCATCCAATCTCCAGTCGTCACAGCTGATGCGAAGCTACGGCTTGTCGCTCTGTACTCTCTCCGTTACCAAAAACATCCTTCAAATGCCCTTCCCGTGTTGGTTGACCTATTAGGGGCTGCAGGCAACGTGCCTCAGCGACAAGTCGACCTTGTAGCAAAACTTTTGATTTACCATTCCTCACTTCAGCAAGCCCAGTCTGCTGGTGGTATATCCGATATTTTCGAATCGGCAGGCATCTTTTCCGGCGCTGCAGGACGCTTCAAAGGTCTCAAAGGTGTTGAGAACGTATATACTCAACATTCTCCCAGGCTAGAATTGACCCTTCAAAATCTCATCAAGGGGCGATTACGAGATCAACAGTATCCATTTGTTGAAGGAGGCGGATCTACGAAAGATAAACCACAAGATATCGTGGTTTTTATTATTGGAGGCGCTACTTTTGAAGAGGCGAAAAGTGTCTCATCGATCAATGCATCATCGCCAGGTGTCAGAATTGTGTTTGGGGGAACATGTGTGCATAATAGCATGACATTCTTAGAGGAAATGGAAGATGCGGTCTCTTCATGGCCAGAGCCTCCACCTACTACGCCTGCTGGGAGGCTAAGAAAGGAGACTGGACGAAGGTAGGGGACATTTTCGTTGGAAGCGGTGTTTGGAGTCAAGGGGAATGCAAGGGAAATGTCATAAGGCCAGGGCTGTATCATACTTTGACCAAAATGAATCTTCAACCGCCAAGATACTAAGTTCACCGAATCATATGTAATGAGGAATTATCCGTGTGGTCGGCAGTGAAGGGATAAAGATCATTCTCCGCCATCAAATAAAATAAACAGTAAAATTCTCCTATGAATTCATGGGCACTCGATGTAGCTCTTCCGCGATTTACAGGAGTACTAGTATTTGATCTACATACAGCTATTCTTACAATCGAGGTTATCTAGTACGAGGCGTAAGTTAGATCAAGAAAAAGGGCGAAGGGGGCGGTTGAAGTCTCTTTTCACGTCTTAAATCATGCCATAAAATTGTTTTTCCGATACTATAAAGATTTCATAAGTTTATAAGGAGTAACGAGGAGAATGACCGGTGAACGTACGTCGAGCAGATCCTCCGTGCTTGCAGAAGAATATATCTCATCCTCCTTTATCTTGTGAGAGAATCAGAGGCGGTAGAGTTTATACCTGCGGTCTGGCGACTCTAGTCTAGAGTTCTGAAAGTGGAGAGTTGTCTGTGGCATTAGCTCGATTATGAAAGGCCGCAAAATTCCCCGCGAAGCTTTCCAGCCAGGATTTTCGGGCTATCAACACCAGAATATGACGAAAGAATTGCAAAAAAATAATGCCCTCTGACGGAAGCGAATTGGTCATCAATCATCAATCAACTACGATGCGAGGTGCCTACGTCGAGGTCGCTGAATGTCCTAGTCTTTTTAATTAAGAGTGTCAATTAAGGGCATCATTGTAACGGTGTTTTCTTTCCTCTACTGTACTTCATGCAACAGAGTGGGAAAAAAAAATTAATGGCGGGGTGATAGAGGAAGCTGGCGGAGAGTACGAAGTACTTCCGTGTTCCCCTCTCGCTTAACCATATCCTCGGTCAGCGGTCACACCGCTACATTCTGCATAAATTGAAATAATGAAAATCAGCCTCATTCAATGAGGGCCTTTGCCCATCTGGGTTGCCCTCGTAGCTCAATGGTAGAGCGCGTCACTAGTACTTCATATTTGAATCGCCAATGACGAGGTTGCCGGTTCGATTCCGTCCGAGGGCAATTACTTTTGCAATTTTTTTGACGTATATGGCTGAATTTCTTTTCAGCTGAAAACTCTCTGTCTCCTTTGACTGGGCCACAGGTTCACCCCCGACGGAAGCGCATAGACTACTACAGGTGGTCAACCATCTGCAAAAACAACCCCAATGTGGCTTAAATGTGTCCATACATTACAAATCCTACTTCGCTATTTACATGCTAATTATGTTTTTGTTTCCTCCTCTTCTCTTCTGCTCCAAAGCGCACACCGTGTGAGAGTAGGAGGTATTTGCTGAAGAAATTCTCTGCGAAGTCATCGAACTTGACATAGTCGGCTCCTAATCGGTAGGCTGCTGCAATCCCGCTGATGCATGCTACTTCATGCATATTCTAGTTTCCATTAGTATCGAAAAGACATCGCTTTGGGTAGAAAGGGGACTGAGTCGTACCACAAGAGTCCAAGATCCGGCGAACCAAGTGCGATTCTTTCCGTTCAAGAACATCATTCCTGGAATGAAGTCAGCATACAATAGTCAAGAGCAGCTTCAAACGACATACCTGGCACCACCCGAACATAGTGCTGCCACCTATGCCCCAACTGATGCCACCACTTCCTCTCAATAACCTTATCCTCGTCAATCTCATCAATCGTCCACAAATCCTTGTTTGTTTTATCCAAGAAGATAGTCTGGAAAACATGATGATCATACCTGATCGGCGCAGTCTCAGAATCCTGATCCATTCTAAACTGATGCTGATAATTCGTGCAGTCGAAACTCATCTCGATCTTCTTCGGGTCTTCCTTATATGACTTTGTGTAGTACATTGGCCTAAAGCCTGTCGGCTCGTCATCTTGACCGCGCTGCTCGCCTTTGGAGAAGGCAATTTGTTCGCGCTGGGCTTTAGACTTGGGCTCTGCGCATAGCGAGTGGTCGAAATGGGTTTCGTATTGTTTCTGAAAGTACTCACTGTCCGAATGGGTGATTGTAATATCATCGAAGAATTTCGCGCCCCCAAGCACGAATTTTTCTTTATATGTTGCGGTCTTTCCCAGGATCTTGAGGGCATCGTCCGCGAGGACGCACATGACGAGCTCATCGAACTTCTCGGTCTTTGAAGAAGGTCCGGTATGTTCCCCCATCCTATCTCTTGCGTCTGGATCGAATGGTCGGGTCTTAAGGACAACTCCACTATCATTCCTCCGAAGCACTTCGGTCACATCAGTCTGGAGACGAATATTCACGCCCTTGGACTCAAGATCTTTCCTCCAATCTTCATAGAAGTTATGAAGATTTGGGAACGTAACCATGGTGGGCAAATTTGGCAGTAGAGTCTCGGAGTCATAGTCCCAGAGCTTCATATTTGGGTCATCGAATAATCTCTCGAGGATTGCGCAAGACACATTCGCCGTCTGGTTTCCAGTTCCAAGGAAAAGTGCGATTAGTGGAAAGACCATCTTGTCGCCGAAATCCTTGCTAAAGAAGAACATCCTCAGCATGATTCTGATTGGGATAAGACCCAATATTGGCATGGTCCATTTGATGATCTTTAGCGCCTTGCCAAACTTCTTGATGTCGGCTGAGAAGCGCTCTACCATAGGGCTTGGAAAGCAATTCGTCCAGAATCCATCAGGGCCCTTGCCGAATGCGACTTGAAGCTTGATCTCTTGGGGCTCATAACCATGTGTCTTGAAAAATCGAAAAGTGTGTTTAAAGATCTTCAACCCTGGTGAGTTCTCTCGACACTTCCGTGACTTAGAAGGGGCCTCACAAGTGATCCCCCTTGAACGCCATCATTCATCCAATCAGTACCATACTTCTCTCTATCGAGACTAATTGACGTGGCTTGACCTCCTGTCACTGCCATACGCTCCACGATGGTAACTTTGAATTTCTCGGGATGTTGTGCAAGAGTTGCAGCGCATGACTATTTCGGCAAGTCAGATCCGAGGCACTAAAAGGCAGCAGTCCCAAGGGAGTTCCAAAAAGCGAATATCAGCAAGAAGAAAAACTTACCATGCCTGCAGCTCCTGCGCCAATAATTGCAACATTCCTCCTCCCTCCTTCCGACATGATCACTGGCGGTGCTTTTGACACTTCTCGGGGTATCTACTAGGGTTGGGTGGTTTTAGGGCTTTAAGATCAATCGCGGGATTCAAATGAACAGTTGATGAAAGAGAGATGCGAACTGCATCAACTATAAGACGACGCCAATAACTATCACCAGATCGCACTTCGCGATTTGTTGCGGTCATAGAATTGCACCACCTCGCCAAGCTCGAGTTGTGGACGTCACGACTTTTACCTATTAAGCCACTCGCAAGCTAAAAGCGGTCGCCTAAGGACGGGAACCAGGCATATCAGACAGAAGGCAACTTAACGCGAATCTGGTTTGGGCTACACTATTCTAGGTAAAGCCTCTCCTTTCTGCAAGGTTCATTTTGCGACACATCACTTCAGCAATACTTCGAGATGCAGCTTTCCGAAAAGCAGTGAAGGATACCAAATTTCAATGCTTCAAACAAAGGCCTTTGTTTCCTGTCGTGCATTTCGAGCAGCACTATGAAGGATCCTATTTTGGTAGGGCTGATCTAACATCATTTCCGTTTGGCTTTTTCTTCTCCATATGGATGGAGCGTTTTCGCGGGGTTTTCTATGGTGGAAGGCTCAGAGAGACTTGTTGTTGTCCGAAGTATCATACTTGATCTCCACACAGGGTCCCTAAAATGATCATGATGGCTACTGACATAGCAAATTTAAAAAAGGGTTAGAAACCATTGCCCTTGTCAGAAACAAGCAAACACATTGGCTTAACCACCGAGGAACTAGCTTACCAGCTCGAGCAGGTGAAATGTGAATATAACCTGGCATTTTTCCAGTGCCATACACGCATTTCACGCTCTCCTCTCGATACTTCAATCAAAGAGTACGTGCTTCTTTGCAGCTACTTCCAGAGAGTGGAGTCGAAAGAACCACATATCGTATGAGCTACGAGGGAAGATCCAGAGGAATCGAGAATTCTACAGGCCTCCAAAGTTACCCCTTATAGCGTCAAAGCTTTCATGGTGATATTCACCCGAAGTGTGCAAGCACCGATTAGGCGCCTGCATGTAAATGAGGTTCGCACTAGTATGTTACTATCAATATCGAGCACTTTAACCTCTTTCTGGTTCAAAGACACCTGCAATATTTGGTGCTTGGTTCCCTATCATCTATGTCTTTGGATTAGAATATTAAGAGACATTGAGTTGCAGGAATATAAGTAGAGCTCAAGCTCTACAGGTACGTGTTTCTTCACATGACTACGCTGATCTATCACTAATCTCGTAGGCCATCTCATCCTGTTAATCCCAGCGAGGTTTTCAGCATACCACCGACCAAGCCCCATTTTCGGTCCCATCTTCGAGTAGCAACGAAGCAAGACGCCGCCTGCACCATGGACTCAGCGATTGCTAGTAGGCAACCTAAAAAGACTGATTGTCTTTTCCGAGTAGAGTACGCTCACTTCAGTGTTGCAAAGATGAGAAGCATCCTCCGCCGATACGAGCAAGCTACCTCTGGTCTCAAAAGCAAACCAGAATTTTGGGCTCGACTCAAAGAATTTACCAATTTGTATGACCTCGGTGGGAATGACAAACTGATCCAAGCATTTGTAACTGGGAAACTAAGCAGACTAATCACATCCCGTGAAATCAAACTCAAGTCAACGCCATGCGATGTTTGTTTAGAGGAGGTCAATACCCGAATACTTCCCGCACAGCTTTCTCCGAAGTGTGATCATGCGGCAGATATCTGCACCACATGTATTACTGAAAGTATCAATGCACAAATTCAAGCTTCTCCCAACCATGTCAGCTGTCCAAAATGTCCAGCCGCTCTTGATTATGAAGTAGTGAAACTTCATGCCTCACCAGAGGGGCTTCAGAGGTAAATACCTAACCCTCACTTACATCTATCGCGGTAATAATTCATTGCTAGATACGAGAAGCACTCAATAATGTCTGCTTTCAAGGACGACCCTAATTTCGTCATGTGTCTAGGCCCTAGTTGTCAATATGGGCAACTTCATGAGTTTGGCGCCCAAGAACCAATTGTGTCCTGTCACATGTGCAATTTCCAAACGTGCTTTATACACAAGGGACCTTGGCATTCTGGTAAAACCTGTGCTGAATTTGATGCTCAATACAACGACGAGGACGTCGCCGAGCAGGAAAAGGCTAGTGATGAGTATTTGGAGCGCTATGCGAAGAGTTATCCCAATTGCCAAGCCCAGATTCAGAAAACGGCTGGTTGTGATCATATGACATGTAAGCGATGAAAGGTAGAATTGGCGGTCAAGCTAACTGGAATCAAAAGGTCGGCAATGCCGTGCTCAATTTTGTTGGCTATGTCTTGCGCCATGGATGCAAATTATGCAGTCTGGAAACCACCACCATTGTCGTCAGTGTCGACATTACCGCCCTCCTTTTTAGGAGCAATGCTGCTTATTCTGGCCAGAATTTCCCCTGTGACATCCAGCTGGTTTAAGGAGCCTGAGAATAGCAACGAAGGATGGATTTAAACCCGTCCATCATCAAACCACACCCGCCTGTACCTATCGCGGATTTGGCCGAGGCGTCTCCTTTTTCTGAGTGTCGGTCCACATTGGACCATATGATTCGACTGTTTTCTCGAACCTAACGCCATATTTAACTACTTCCGAGTCTCAGCATCTCTACAGAACACTTACCGCCGATTGTCTCAAGAAAGCCTTAAGGGCAACGATTCCTTATGTCCAAAGTTTGGAGAAGTTCCGAGGGGTGCTACCTCGATGGCAACATATTTTGTGGGTTTAGAGGAAGGCAAAATGGCGCTGGGTGCTTTCCTTGTCTTTGGCCTTGATTTGGACAGACTTTCAGGCCAGATACTAATATGTCCTATCGTGTTTGCGGGGTCTTTTCAAATTGATAGAGTTTGTATGATTGATGAAGACAGTATCCCATTACTTGGTCATCCCAGCCTCAGTATCTAGCCCTTTACGAA